TCTCTCTTTCTGTCTCTCTGCCTCTCTCTCTGTCTCTCCTCTCTCTCTCTCTCTCTCTCTCTCTCTCTCTCTCTCTCTCTCTCTCTCTCTCTCCCTCCCTCCCTCCCGCTCTCCTTCTCCCTTCTCCTATCCTTCTTCTGTGACACATTTTAATTTTCCAGGTTGCAGCTGGCTTATTTAGCACTATGATTCAGACTCATCTTCTCCTGATGATGAACAAGGCTTCCCCAGAGTATGAAGAGAGTGTGCTGAGATACCAGAAGGCAGCTAAGCTCTTCCAGGGACAGGTGAGTTGGGAATGGTCCCCACCAGGGGAAGATGGTGTTAGAGAGAAGGACTATAGTGTGGTTTCAGGGTATGCAGTAAGGAGTGGGAGGTAAGAAGTGAAAAATTTTGAAATTAAAGAAACTTTCTTTTGCAATATTAAGACCCCAGTAATCAGTCTTCCTTCCAGCTGTGGCTGTCTGTTTCACACTGACATGTGAGGAGACAGTAAGTATAAATATGCTGAAGCCAAATCACCTAGTCAGAATTTGTTTGCTCATCATAACCTCTGAAGGCTGGGACAGACAGCAGGGACTACCCCTCACATGAGTGCCTACAAAACCCCTGGTGCCTACCTCAAGTGCACCATGATCCTGTATCTGCCTCCCTCCCTCCTGGGTGCAGTTCTGCTTGAGGTCTCTGAGACAACCATGCTCATCTATCTACCCCTGCATCTAATGAAAGCTATCACATAAGCTGTCTTGGGGAGGACTGGTCCCCTGACATGGGGAGCACTGAGTGTTCCTGAATACAGACAATCCTCTGCTCAGAAGACCACAAGGATTTCCACTTTGGGTAGACTTGACTTAATAAACACCCCACCCCCATCCCCTCCTCCCCTCCCCAGCTCATTGTGGTCTCATTTTCTACATTTCAGTTACCCCGTAACCCATGGGCTCAAAGTAATAAATGGTGAATTCCAGAAATAAACAATCCATGTGCTTCAAAGAGCTTTCCCTGTCACATATTAGTAAAATGGTTTGGTTTTGTTGCCAGCTGCTAATATTCAAAGTTTGTTCATAGAGCAAGGAAGAGCACTATCCCTGACTCTGGGGAGCCACTGTGGTGGGGGTTCTTCCTATGTACCACAATTACTGAAGGTAACATCTCGTTTCGTCTCTGCCCCCACCAGGAAATTTTACAAATAAAAAAACTGAGTCTCAGAGAAACTAAGTTGCAAATCACACAGCTAAGAAGACATGCAGACTTAACCTCATTCTCTGCCTTTAATCACTAGGCTATACTTTGTTGCTTAGGGAATCATCAATATGTCTTCAAAGTCCAAATTCTTTTTTAAAAGATTGTCTCTATCTTTAATGGGGGGCAGAGGAGGTGGGGTGTGTGTGTAAAAATGCCCACAGAGACTGTAAGAGTGTTGGATCTCCTGCAGCTAGAGTTACAGGGGATTTTGAACTACCTGGTTTGGTATGCTGAGAGCCTAATTCTTAACCTCTAAGCCATCTCTCCAACCCCAAATTCCAATTTTTTATTTTTATTTTTTGTTGTTGTTTCTTTGTTTTGTTTTGTTTTTTTTTTGTTTTGTATTGTTTTGGTTTGGTTTGGTTTGGTTTGGTTTGGTTTGGTTTGGTTTGGTTTGCTTTCTCTAGACAGGATTTCTCTTTGGCTCTGGCTGTCCTGGAATTTGCTTTGTAGACCAGGCTGGCCTCAAACTCACAGAGACTGGCCTACCTCTGACTCCCAAATGCTGGGATTAAAAGTATGCACCACTGTGCCCAGGCTGGCCTTGAACTCATGATCCTCCTGCTTCCTCTTCCTTCAGCAAATCCTACTGTGCCCAGGCTGGCCTTGAACTCATGATCCTCCTGCTTCCTCTTCCTTCAGCAAATCCTACGGGCGTGTGCCACCACAACTGGCCAAAATTCTTGTAGTTAAATTTGACTAGAGGGATAAAATACCAAAGCAACAAAAATAAATTTCAAATGCATTTAAATTTAATCAAGATGTGTTGGAAGAGGGTTGTTCTTATATAGCCCAGGCTAGCCTCAAACATGCTGACTGGCTGTACTTAAATGTGATTTTGAACTCCTGGTCCTCCTACCTCTGCCTCCCAGGTGCTAGAATTACAAGTGTGCTCCATCACACCAGGCTCCATCATACCAGGGTCCATCATACGTAGACTAAAATTATGTGATGCAGACCATGAATTCAATCTGTGTAGTGACAGAGATTACTAGAATCTCTTTGTCCCCAGGCTCTCAGTGGGACCTCTTCCTTTAACCCCTCCCCATCTACAGATCCTCTTTGTTCTGGTGGACAGTGGCAGAGGGGAAAACAGAAAGGTGATCTCCTATTTCAAACTGAAGGAGTCTCAGCTGCCGGCTTTGGCCATTTATGAAACTGTGGATGACAAGTGGGACACACTACCCATCACAGAAGTTAACGTGGAGAAAGTCCGAGACTTCTGCGATGGATTCCAAAAGGGGATGCTGCTGGTGAGTGTGGGCTTCAGGTAAAGCCATCACTAGTTGCTCTTCTCTGTGCATTTCCTTTCAGAGCAGGGTGGCTTTGGGCAGACAGTTAACGGGACACCATTAGCTAGAGACAGTCATTTGCAAAGCGTTTGTATGGGGAAACTCAACTTGGGGTTTCCCCATTTTCTATTCAAGGACCAATGGGAGATAACTTAAATCCTATATAAAGAGCTCATGCATGAGGTGTGGTGTGGCTCGTGCCAGGTACTCTGGAGGCTGAGGTGGGTAGACTGCCACAGTGAATCCAGCTTGGGGTACATAATAAGTTTAAGTCCAGCCCAAGCTGCATAGTGAGACCTCTTCAAAAAACAACAAAACAAAAACACAAAAACAACATCAACAACAGAAGGACTCAGCAGTTCAAAGTAAAAGTGGACTTAAGGGTTTTTTCAAGAGTAATCAAGTCTGCTCTCTAAGTTCAGCGTCACTGTGTTTTTCAGAGAGATCACAAAGCAGAAGAAGATGCTGGGAAGGAGGAGCTCTGAGGCTCCCTGGTACTTCTACATGGGTCTAGTCCGTGCTGAATAAAAAGGAGCAGTTCGAATCTCTGCAGCAGTAAACAAGGTCATCTCCTCCGGTGTTCTAACAAGGGGCGGGAGGATGGCCACGCTCCCTTTGTGTCTGAAGGGCTCCCTTTCTTGCCTCGTTTGTTTTCAACTTCCCATCCTCTCTCACACAGCCTCGATTCCCACTGTGGGTGAGTACTGAGGAGAGAGGGGCGTCAGAAACTGGGCATCTCTGTGAAGGAGAAGCGTTCCTCGAGAGAGGCTGTTCCGGTGCGTCACTGACATTTTAATTGGTACCCGGCACCGGCTCACACAGTAGTTCCTTTTCCTTTGGGGTCATCCGAGGATAGAAACCTAACCCTCCTTCATAAGCACATATCCTTCTCTGACTTGGGGCCAAGAACAAAAACATGTTTTGGGTTTATTTCTCTCCAAAAGTTCAACGATGTCTCCAAGTTTCTGAACACGTCAGAAACAGAGCATGTCAAAAGCTACACTCATTTAGTGATTCCAGCTCCGCGTGTAAGTCAGCAACCCGTGGAATAAATAAAATCCAACACTGTTACAAGAAGAGCGGCATCTCTCTGCAAGCCAAACCCTTTGGAGGGAACCCAGCTGCCCAGCTCAGCAGTACATGCCCCGCCCTCCAGGGCTGTTTCCTTTTGGGTCACGACCCTCCGATGTGTTGTTCCCTGTGTGGGTGAGATGAGTGGTGGGACCCAACCATCCTGCGTGAGGACTGATACAAATGTGGCAAAGGAGCCAGGGAGTCAATTAGGTAAAAGGTGAGGGAAAGAAAGAAGTTGGGGGCATTTGGCGCCAGGGCACGCTGGGGCTGACCACGGTTACTGCCAGTAAGGTGTGCGGTCCAGCACACGGGATGCAGGGGAGTTTGACTGTGGGTCGCTGGCCCACAGGCTGTTACTGTCGACACACAGATGCTACATTGTCACAGCCTTCCCGCCCCGTCCAGGTCCTTGGCTCTAAAGAAAAGGGTCTAAGTGCTGAAGAGCTGAAAACCCACAGATGAACAGAAAGACGGCTCCAAGTGAGGGACAAGGGTTGCTTGTGCCTTTCTGCGGGCTAACCCCATGGCCCCTGGGCGTGGTCAGTGGCTGGAAAGGAGACTGTGAAAGCAGCTCTTGAAGTAACACAGGGACCAGGAGCTTGAGGGGTCACCGGGTCCATCCCAGGGCTGCACAGTCACAGGAGCACGCAACAGGCTCATCTCAGAATGCTTCTTTGACATTTTGACATTTTTGACATTTCCACTCAGGAATTCTTTCTGATGGATGATCCCCTGCTGAGTGAGGTTTCCCAGGCTCTCAGGGTGTCTTTTCTTGCAACTCTGAAATTTTATTTTTTATTTTTTTTATTTTTGGCGGGGGGCCGGGGGGAGAGGGGTTCGAGACAGGGTTTCTCTATGTAGCTTTGCAACCTTTCCTGGAATTCGCTTTGTAGACCAGGCTAGCCTCAAACTCACAGCGATCGGCCTAACTCTGCCTCCCCAGTGCTGGGATTAAAGGCGTGCACCACCACCGCCAAGCAATTCTGAAAATTCCTAACACCAGGAAGGCAGTGGTTCTCAACCTTCCAAATGCTGTGACCCTTTAATACAGTTCCTCATGTTGTAGCGACCCCCAACCATAAAATTACTTTTGTTGCTACTTGGTAACTGTAATTTTGCTATTGTTATGAATTTTAACGTAAACATCTGATGTGCAGGGTATCTGACATGCTATCCCTGTGAAAGAGTCATTGCACACTCTTGTTGGGGTCGAGATTGAGAGGCCCCCACATTGAGAATCATTGATCTAAATGCCCCTTCGACTTCACGGAGTTTTTCTTGTTGTTGTTTTTTCCTTTTTGGTGCTCTTAGGAATTGAACTTGGGGCCTTGCGCATGTGAGGCAAGTGCTCTACCACTGAGCCACACTCTCAGGCCATCTCCCAGTTACTTTTAAGTCCATTTACATGATGTCCAGTCTTCCATACAATCCAACCTTTTACCATTTTCATTTCCAATGTATTCATCACTTGATCATTTTCACTCTTCCCTTTCCCTCAACTTTCCCTCTTTCTTGCTTAAAATAGTAATACTTCAAGCTTTAGTAAAGCCCCCAAATTATATTATGTTTAATAATGGGTTAATTTTACCATTTTTATCCTAACATACCCTCCGTCACATGCTGACAATCAACACAGCCTCCATAGATATTAACAAAATCCAGTTTATTTTGCTGGTTGGTGGCATTTTGTAGCAATTTTGTCAGATATCATCTTGTATGCTTATGTTTGTGGATTTGTAGTGTTGAAATGAATTACTCCTTATGAGCTCAGGGCTCTTCAAAATGGCCAGGAATTCTCCATGTCTTTGTCAGTGCTGGCCCTGTTCTTTGTAGCTCTCAGGACTCAAGACCAGAGGATGAAATTCCTTTAGAGAGGAGAGATTTGGGGTTATTTGTGTGTTTGTTTGCAGTCTCTGTGGCTCCCTACCTGTGTAACCAGTTGGCCAGCCTCAAACTCAAGATCCTCCTGCCTCTGCTTCCCAAGTGCTGGGATTCTAAGTGCGAAACCAAAGATGGCAAAAGAAGAGATTTCTGTTGGCTAAAGCCGGGACCTACTGTAACTTCTGCCATTTCTAGACACTTCCTTGTCTTTGGTTTATTATTTCCTAAGACTGTATTCATTCCCCAAGGCTATTCTTGCTGGAATACCTAGGAACATCTCAGATGTTTTGTGCCATGGATTCATTCACTAGCTCTCACTGGTAAAACCCCACCCTTTCTTTGAGGTGTGAAATGAGCTGTTACCCCATGGAACTAGGAAGATATCAGAAGATTTGGAAGACTATGATGAGGGCCCACACACAGGCAGAGCAAAGCATGCCAGGAAAGTTTGGATTTGACTTCTTTCTGAACTTGGGGAGAACCAGTTTGTTTGTTTGTTTGTTTGTTTGTTTGTTTGTTTTGTTTGAGACAGAGTCTCTGTGTAGGCCGGCTAACCTAGAACTCACTCTGTAGCCCAGGCTAGCCTCTAACTTACAGGGATCTGTCTGCCTCTGCTTCCCAAGTGCTGGGATTAAAAGCATGTGCCACCACTACCCAGCTTGGGAGAACCATTTTTTGTCTCTGAAGGTTAATTTAAAGCTTGTTGAGGATACTAAAATAGTTTCCATAGGATGTTTTGAGATTCCAGAGTAATGATACATATCAAGGAAAGTCTGGAAACCGTAACACATCATGTCACTTCTCCAATTGTCACAGCTTATGGAAACAAAGAGGCTCATTACTGACTTCCTTAAATGAATGAGCCTTCCCAAAGGAAAATTCTGGAGGTAACTGTCTCTAACTCACTTTCGTTATTACTCAGCATAGTGAGGCCACCAGGTCAGAAAACAACCACCAGTGTTAAGACTATTGGTTATGCAGCATTTGCAAGAAATAAAAGCTGACTTTGCCATAGGGGAGGGTATGCAAGGGAAGCCCCGCCAGCACTTGGGTGGCAGCGTGAACAACAGGGAGGTGTGAGCAAAAGCCTTCACAGTGCTTCCCATGAGGAAGAATTGGCTAGGAAGGGTGAGGGCGAAGGAGGGTAAAAAACTGAGTTGAATAGTATGCCCAGGCTCACGGGCATAGGGGACTGTCCTTAGATGTCTAGAGCTTGGCTATGGGGTGAGTAGGACAACCGTATGGTGGTTAGAACATAAGATCCCATCAGGAAGGTAGGTGGGGTAAGGACTCTATGAGTTAGTTTGCATCTGAAACATGAATAGCAGGTGACTTGTTCGATATCTCTAGAAACTGGTTAGTCCTGGTGCCCTTGGATTCCATGATTCCAGAGTCATCCATCTCCTCAGACAAACACGGAGACTTAAGTAGGAGCTGATTTGCTGAAGCAAAGGCAGTAGCTGCTCTCTCAAGGAGGGCAGGACACCTGCCAAGAAGTCAAGTGCCTCTGACTCTCTGGTATTGGAGTAGAGAGACCTCACAAATTGAAGGAAAACTTGGGCTAATCTCATGTACATTATTGTGGAATTCCCTGAAACTTCAGAAGATATTTCTAGGATCCAGAGGAAGAGAAATGGTTTCACCAAACATGGTACTTTCTAAACCAAAACAATAGTTTTTGGTAGGTGCATAAGTTCAACCTTAGCAAACCTGGAATCCACAGGTAATTCTCTGCATTAGTCAGGGTTCTCAGGAGTAGCAGAACTTACAGTGTGTATATATATATATATATATATATATATATATATATATATATATATATATATAAATGAGATGTATAAGAATCACTTACAGGCTATGGTCCAACTCATCCAGCAGTGGCAGGCTATGAACAGAAAGTCCAAGAATCTAGAAGTTGCTCAGTCCATGAGGCTGGATGTCTCAGCTGGTCTTCAGTAGACACTGGAACCCTGAAGAAGTAAGTCCTAATGCCAGTGAAGGGATGGATTTGCTAGCCAAGGCATGAGCAAGCAGTCAAAGAACAAAGCTTTCTTCCATGTCCCTATAGGCTTCCAGCAGACATGGCCCAGACTAAAGGTGCATCTTCCCACTTCAAGATTCAAATTAAAGACATGTGCCTTTCCTACTCAAGATCTGGATCATAGGTGTGTGACTTTCTACCTCAAAGGTCCAGACTAGAAGTAGATTCACCCACTTCAAATCAAGCAAGGAATCTCTCATGTAGTCAAGATGACAACAAAGAATAGCCATCACACTCCCCCGGAGAGAAGAGCCCAGCACAACAGTAGGATATTATAAAGGACTTGGGATAAACTATATTATACATTATCCTATGCTCAGATGAGGTCACACAATCAGGTTAGATTTAAAATGCATTGTTCTTGGTCTCTCTGCCTACTCCGGTTTTTAGGAAGGGAAGATTTTCTAGGGCCAGTGAGCTCTCAGAAGTCAAAGCATCATCGTTATAAATTATCCTATCATTCACTTGCTGTAGAGCTCCTCTCTCAGCTCACCTCATTGGGCTGTGCCTCAAAGGAAGACTGTGTCCATGAAAATCTGTATTAATACAGATGTTTGGGTAGATGAAAGATAGGATGAGTGTTATGCAGTATGAGAAAGTGTCATGTATTCATGTACTCAATCATTCATTTAAATATTTATTAACTAGCTATGAAGGTACCAAGCAAGGTTGCCTCTTGAAGGAGGGGAATAAGCTTGGCCTTGGATGAAGAGCCATTGAGCAGAGAACTTCTGTAGTAGTGGAACACAGAAGCCATCAGACTGTGTCTGGGCCATGACAGAGATCAGCAGGACAGAGAAAGCTGGAGAAAGGAGAAGAGGTATGCTGTGGGGAGCAAGGAACAGGAAGTGAGCAATGGCCCAAGGAGTCTCCAGGGATGGAGGAGGAGCCACAATGAAAAATCTGCCAGAAAAGGGAGAAGGCTCCCCATGGACAAATCACATTTCACAGCTGAATTTGGAGCCAATCCTGTTTGTTTCACCTTTCTAAAAATACCAGGTCTCCTAAGAAAAAAGTAAACAGGAAGTGGGATGGACCTGACCC